TCACTTGAAAAGTTATCAAAGAAAAACATTTTTCATTTTGTAACTTCGAGGGCCCGTAACTTGGTTACGAAGACTTTTAGGAAAAAAAGTTATATGAAGTACTGGTGATATTTTGACCCCATCTATACATTCCCGAGAGGAAAAGAGGAAGTCCAGGGACACCCTGTATATTGTTTCATGAACAATATCTATTAACAGTTAACATAATCTTTATTTTTCAACTGAGCCAGTGTTTACACTTAGCAGACTGTGTTAAAATATTATACATGTACTAACAATTTTTTAATATTTATAGACATTAGACATTCATTTGATATTGTACATTTGTTAATAAATTTGAATTTGAATTTGTTCCACTTCTGAAATTTTTCGTATATTTTTAAATAAATTTAAAAATAGGATCTTGTCCAGCTATTTTCAGAGTGAAGTTGTAAAGACTTTGTTATATAAAAAACGTATTTCTAATCGAAGTAACAGTTGTGCAACAGCTTGAAATGCACAATTTCAATATATATGATAACAGTTGGGGGTACTTGCTTACAATTGACGAGAATGCTGCATAACGATAAAACCTGAATTAATTGAAGTGCATTATCAAAAACTGAAGAGAGTTATTCTTGAGAAATATCCTCAATTTCAAAGGGTGTTCCCATCATATTGTGATCATCTAGAACTTTCCAGTTATTTATACATTTCTGGAATTTTCAGTTGAAAGTATTGGAGTAGCAAAATCCCTAGATGAAAAATTCTGGGATGACACCTGCCACCCCTTGCCAACCCAAATTATGTCTATGATAAGTAATACTATTTAAATAACCGAAGATAATGGTTGGTCCAGATGTATATAATTCAGTTGTAAGGAATTTAGTTTACTCCTGATGCCGAAAGGAAGACAGTGTTTTAAATCTGGTGTTAGGGAAAAATGTTTTCATTAGATTCCTTTTACACCCGAGGTTCGTTCAAGTCTGAAACAAAAAGGTTTTGCATCTGATCTCATAAAATATAAGCATCCGTAAAAACACATAAGATAACTCCATATGAGGTACATACCTTCCCAAGTGACTATCAATAAATTAGTGGCTTGAAAATTTGAATAATGGAGAAAAGAATCATGGATATTTTCCGTTGCCCTTCGGAGTAAGTCTGGTCTATCCGTTTGATAGTATGAAACTGACCCGGCCTGCCTGGTGTCCACATTGGAGTAAAATGGAGCAATGATGGGATAATCCAACGGAAACTCGATGTTGATGAATTGCGGAATTTCTGTTTGAAATGACAGAAAACCATTGTTATTAACCTAGAAGAAAATAGAGAAATTAGAAGGGAAATTTTTATCGATACATCCCTAATGATCTTAGTGTGTTTTCAAAAATCAATTTAGATATAATGCAAGATTCTATACTCGATCATGGAGTGAAGTTTGATCAAATATTTCACTTTTGTGGTGTCAAAATATGGTGTTAATCCCGTCGGTATTGACCAAATGCACAGGACCTTTCACACCTCTATGATAAAAAAAGGCATTGAAGCTGCCAATCTGATGAATCGTCAGTTTTGGACTTCGCGAGGGTTTGTTGTGACTATTCAAACTCGACCATATAAATCCAGCTTCTTAACGAAACATCAAGCTATATAATGTTTTGTTTAACGAATATGGAATATACAACAAACTACAATTATTCATACTAAAATAAAAATAATGATGTGAAAAAACTTCATTAGGCATTGAATTTTTTTACTTGAATAATAATATTTGAGAAATATGTATGATGTTTCCAGTCTATTCTTTATTTTTCATTTCCATTTTTCGGAATCGATATTTTTCAAAGACTTAAAGAATATTTCGACATCTTTTACTTTAAATTTTATGTTTCTTCTTGCAATGAAATCCTTTACTTGAAACCAAACGAGTTCAGTGGGATTAAATTCGTAATAATGCTTGATCATGCTTTCATCAAATGGTATGTTTTTTTGTCGAAGCCACTCGAAAATATTCGCTTTTCTACATGCATAAGTTCTTTTTTTTCAATTTTCCTGGAATGATATGTTTCATTATCCATCACACTCACAGATTTAGGTGGAATGAGGACTAACATTTGCCCAAAATGTTCGCCGTTCACGTCGTCATAGTAATCGGCAAAATGCGAAATTTTAACTACTATCTTTTTTTCTATTGATTATTACTTCACCTATCATGAACAATAGTATTATTGGACGGAAGCCGTCGGTTCGACGTGGGTGCTTTGTTCATTACTCAAATGAACCGCCGTGTTGGTCGTTAGTTCAAGCCCCAGGCTGAACGATCTATTTTCACTTGTTATCGTCCAACCCGTATTAGGAATCACACGTTAAAAGGTAAGACCTCGTAGCCCTTAGCTTGCACAAGTTTCGACTTCTGAAGGGTGTCATTCGTAGGGGTGTGACAACTGGTTAACGGAAAAACATATTTTAAACAGATTTTTTTCAAACATATTATTTCAATATTTCTCTATAATAAAATTGTTTGAGAGCCAAAGTTGATCTCTTTGTTTTTGAAAAGATGGTGCAGGCAATTTTTTTGTGAATATATCAGCTTGCTGGTTATTGCTTGAACCATATTTTACTTCTAGAATGTATTTCTTTATAGCTTCTCTAATGAAATGATGTTTGACGTCTATGTTTCGTCGGCTTATGATTTTCTGGATTTTTAGCTATCCGAATGGTACCTTGATTATATGTAAGGCGCTTTGATTATATGTAGGTCTTGGCTCACAAACATTTAGATCAATAATATTTCCGAATGTCTTGACAAGTTGTATTTGCTGAAGCCATATATTCAGCTTCGGTTGACGACAAAACCATAGTAGGCTGCTTTTTCGTCACCCATGACAAGAGGAACCTCGAACTTCGAACAAATATTCAGCTGTGAACTTTCTGTCAATTGAGTCCCTTGACCAGCCAGCGTCCGAATATCCTATCAGCACCGGTTGAGATTCATCCTATCTGTGAACTAGTTTGAAGTTTAGAGTCCCCTTTACGTATCTCAAAGCTCTTTTGAGCCCGCTTCAAGTTTCCTCATTTGGACGATTTCAAACTCTACTGTAAAAGCTCACAAAAGTGATTAGATTAGGTCTTTGTTGAAAAATACTCAATACGGGAGAAGTTTTTCGAGTAAAAGAAACACGTTATTCATCTACGAATGTCGCCATACAACTACTTTATTTTTTCCATCAGCAAGGTTACAACATACAATACTTAAAAAGTTACTAGAATGCAGTGTTGCTACCTTCATGAACATAAATTAAATTGATTGATATGAACAACAGTCTTGATTCCAACATCGCATACATTAAACAACCAATCAATTGCTTGTACGGTTTTCCAAATGGAATATCAGACTTGCTTCTTGAAATTTGCAATTAACTTTCCATAGGAGTTGATACCGGATGACAATCATATATGTCAAATATTTTCAAAACATTCATCAAATGAACTTTTTGTACAACTGCCATTAAAAGTGACATTTTTGCCACTTCAAAGCAAATGCGATAACATGAAAATAGTTCACTGACAAGAGATGTCAAAATGTGTTTTTATAGAAATATTAAATTTATCTATTTTATTATGGAAACAAGACAGTTTTACAAAATACTTTGTATTCTATTTGTGTTAAAAGTAAGTGTTATTTTGTTCGTGAAATTGCTCAACTGGCTACGCTCGTTTCGCAAACTTTCCACTCACAAAATAAAACCTTACCTTTAAAACTCACATCATAAATAGCTATTTTGACTTATATACAAAACGTCTTCTCGAAATTTTTCTCTCGATCATCAGTCCAACGAAATTTTTTAGTTCTCAATTTCATTTACATCTTTGGAACATAAAATAATACATAAATTAGCAAAAATATAGATTAAGTTTCTTCAGTCTTCATATTTATATAAAAAATGATGTTATAAAACTATAAAAACTTTCATTCCAGCATCTAGGCGACGTTTTCAAACCATATAGAGATCTATTTAGTTTGCACACATATTTGTTACTTTTTTGAAAACTTTCCGGATGGTACATGTGAACGTACATACATTTAACGTCCAGTTGATGTAAAAACATTTCTTTCTGAACAGCCAAAACCAACATTATACAAATCGTTGTAAGTTTCAGAACATGAACAAAAGCTTTGTTTCGATTTAGACTTACTTTCTGCAAGAATCCTGTTGCTACAGGAGCTACAGGAGCTTCATATTTAGGTCTTTTTCAGGGACAAAACACAAGCACTCCGGGAAAATCTTTAGAGCGCTCTAAGATCGGTGCCTATGCGAAAGTAGCGATTCACGTTGGCCTTCAAACTCTGAAAATAGTTAAACTGAAACTATGTCCAGTTCTTTCATTTTTGTACCGGCGGCTTCAAGTTCTCTGATGATTTTGTCAAATTTTAATGTTAGCAACGTCTTCTGAAGTTTTATCTTTGTCATATTCGAGATACTGTCAGGTATTCGTTGTATTACTATAAAATTTCACTTCAGTTTTTAGCTTGACTTTGGCTTCATTTTCAAGTTCAAAATTAATTTTTTTCTGACCAAGATATATCAAGGTACTCAAGGGGATCATTTTCTTCGAGAAGAATTTCCATTCTATATTTCCAATAGTCATAATTATATCCATCAAACAATGATATTCTATATTCCTGTTTTGGGACGATAACCTTTTACTTTCATTTAAATTACGAAGGTTCGAAATCTAGCAGACCACTATTATAATCTTCATGCAGAAATTGTTCACTGTGGTTTTGGCGTTAAATCTGGTCATTGTTATGCCTTGGCCAAAGACGGACTGGTTTAAGTTTGACGATAGTCGTGTCACTAAGTGTTCTGGCGATGTATTGAATTTATTGGAGCCTCTGGAGACACCCTACATTTTGTTTTATGAGAGAGAGGACATTGGCAGATCAAGATATTCAGATGATGTGGTGCTGCAGGTTTTTGCGGGTTTTCCTGCAGCTGAAAATGCAAATGCGCCACTGGATTCAATGAAGTCGCCCCGTTTCCCATAGTATTTTGGTTTGCATTCGCAGCAGAATCCTTCATCATAGTCATTGCATTTAGCTTGGACGTGGCAATAAGTTGAAGCCTCCCTGCAAGTCTGAGGTGGACCAGTATTTTTCGTGTCTGGAAAGAAATATTGAAAATTTCATTTCCGATTCAAAGTATCTTGCATTGCTCATCTCCAGATCAAAACGAAACTGACTTTCTCCAGATGAACTGTTAGTTGGAGTAGACATAAAATCAATTTATAGTATCAATATGATACTGTTGAAGTACTTAGTTTGAGTGGGAAGTTATCACTTACCAAAGTTAGTATCGGGTTCAATAACTTCCAACTCATCTACCTTGAAAATATATTGACCTTCAAGACCCATATTGGACCACCTGAAATAAAAATGAAAATCAATTGTTTACGGATATTATTCTTATTGCACGGTGAATCGGCACAATGTTGGTGTCTAATAACTTCCTTGAGATGAAAGCTGCAAAGACAGCCAGAAACAGTTGTAGAATTTGTTTCAAATAGTAAAACCGTTATCGATGATTTCAGCTTCTGGTATTATAGAAAAAACTGATCCTCAATACTTCGAAATTTGTGGTCGTGAATGTTGGTGTCTATCTTCCTTGTGATGAAAGCTGCAAAGACAGCCAGTTGTAGAATTTGTTTCAAACATTAAAACCGTTATCGATGATTTCAGCTTCAGGTGTTATGAAAAAAAACTGAACCGCAATACTTCGAAATTTGTGGTCGTGAAATTCTAGAAAAAATTGTGACACCGGCACGTGGTCGAAATTGGTAATATTCAAACGTCTATAGAAGTCAAATGGCTAGGAACTCGTCTTGACGCCAATCTGAGTTGGGAAAAACAAATCAGTCATGTGGGTATAAATCTTAACAAAGTCTTTTATGCTATACGTCAGATGAAGTCCAGCCTAGATGAAATAGGTCTGCTTAGTTTACAGGGTGTTCCAAATTAAGTCGGCACAATTGCCAACTCCGTTATTATTGATACTACGAATTTCCATCAATTCTGTTAATTATAGTTTCAATATAATTTTTCAGTTCATCTACATTATTATGTTCAATTTTGTATACATCATTTCTAAGAAATCCCCAAAACTAAAAACCAAGAGGTGTCATGTCTGGTGAATGAGGATGCCACTTAACAGAAATATTCGTAGTAACCCATCTGTTTCCAAAACAGTCTTGCAACATCATTTTTACACCACTGATGATTCTCCAGATTAAGATCATCGAAAAACTCTTCCAACACTCTTGTTAATAAATTAATGTAACGGTGTTTGTTCAAAGAACCATAGTAGAAAAATAGACCGATAATTCTGCCTCTGAATAGACCACATCAAACATCAATACTAAATCGTCTTTACGGATTGTGGGGATAGACTAGAAACGGATGTCTACTCCAATAATGAAAATTCTTTCTATTATACATCCCACAAATTGAAAATATAGCCTCATCGCTCCATATAATATTTCTATAGTTTGAATCTTGTCTGCATTCATAAACCACCAACAAAACCCCAATTTTCTCTTAGGGTCACCAGTTTCTAGTGTTTGAATTGGTCTTAACTTATAAAAAGAAATCTTCAGGATTCGTTGAATAACAGACGGTGGAAGAGCTATTTCTGTAAATAAATTTCTAATGGAATAATTTGGATTTACCTCAAAATAGGCTAAAACGTCAATTTCTGTATCTTCAGATATTACAAAACTTTCTTTAGTTCTCCCCTTATCAAAAACTTTTTCATTGCTCCTGAATCACGGTTCAAATAAGTACCAAAATTGGGTGTTTGGACAATCATGAGATTTTATTTGCGAAAATAAAGAATTTTTCATACTAGTGATATAAATAAATCTTTTATGAATTTTATGAAATCTTTGAAAACGCGACTGGCAATTTTTTTTGGTTTCCGTCATCAAAAACGCCATTAATAATGCTACTAGTTTGCCTTTTTAACCGAATTCGTAGCATCAATAATAACGGAGTTCCGACTTAATTTGGAACACCCTGTATATTACTCGTATCTCAGCCTGAACATCATTGCTTTTTTTAGGGACAAATCACGAGCACTACAAAAATTCTCAAGGCGCTCTAAGAGCGTTGCCTGTGCGAAAGTAGCGATTCACATTGGATTTGAATCGCTGGAGATTAAGTTCAATTGAAAAAACGTTCTCAGTTGGTTTATTCCGCATAAACGCAGTTCTCCAAATGGAAGAGTTTTTGAACAGTGAAGATCGAGGCGTACTGAGTTTAATCTCAGAACGATGAGCAGCCACAATCCGTCGCTCACTTCTGATATGTACCGCTTTTGGTGGAATAGAATATGCCAAGTCGTTTGAAAACTTTCCGTGAAAGTATCTATAGAAGAGAGACAAATCTCCACCAAACTTCGATGTTCCAATCTGAACTGATAATCGAGTCCAATACCGAACATACACAATAACATATTGTTCTTTCTAAATTTGTACAAATAATACCTTGATTTGATATTATTCATAGTCTTATCATGTGTTTCTTTTCCACAGTGAATTGTGTTATCTTAGTAATGTTATCTTACTTTTCCAGGTTATTCACTTGTTCTGTTCCGGACCCAGGTAAAGAAAATATGTCCCCTTCCGGAGATATTATTCCTGCCTGTGCTCTAGCATCTGGTAACCCGGACTCATCGCCCGTTCCTTGAATCCATTGGATGCCATCTTCTGGATACAAAAATTCAACAAATGTTTCCATACCGTCACTTGAAATAACAACTTGGTAGGTGTTCGCTTTGTCACTTCCACGATTGAAATATCCAACCCCTGAAATGAAATAAATTTTGATTTACTATTCAATTGGATATCAAGTAAGCAAATGTCACACAAAAAAGCAAAATTTCATTCCAAATTCATTCACAATAATTTATTTCAAGCCTTCTCTATTGATCTGTATTGAATTCGTGAATTACTCGTACTTGGAGAATATCTCTTGTAATAGCCAAAAGATCTATTGAGGACAACTTCTACTGGTCTATGGTATATGTTCTACTACTATGAGCACGAAAAAGCTCTCTCACAGGATGCTGAGTTCATAGAAATCGTAAAAAACAAACGTTATAATTCTAAAAGTATAGGAAATACATATCTTAAAGACTTTCATGTTTTTTTCGTGTTTTGATTCTTCCATTTTATAAAAACATCTCAGTTCAGATAGGAGGAGTTTATTATCGAAAGAGTAATAAACACATACATTTTACATACTAGATATATCTGAATTAGTGTCTCCTATATTTTTGATCAACTCGTTACGAATATCTAGTCTGGTCCATATTTCTTGACTCTGGATGTCGAATACTTGCCAAAGAAATAAGTTGTTCCAGAGGTTCATATGGATCTTCACTTTCATCTATAAGTGTGGAAGGAACTTTGACATTTCTTGGCAGTTCATCTGCTTTGAACCTGCAATTTTGCTGCAGTGATTGAATAATTTATGGAAAAGTCGCATTGTGTTAGAACTCTTCTGGATAATAACAAGTTTAACACATTGTTGAAGCTTTCTAGACTTGTTTTTGACTAGTCAATACTGAGGAGAATGGTTTTTGATTCTATCAAAAAACATATTGCTCAAGTCCATCTGGTATCACTCATTCTCAATTTTGTTCCAGTTCTGTCAACAGAAGATGCAATTTTCAATGTAACACGAAATATATATGATGGTCTGAATACTAACAAAAAAGTGATTGGAATATTTTCAGATATGAAGAAAGCTTTTGATACCGAATCTCACTTTAAACTCCTGGAGAAACTTACACAATACGGAATAAGAGGTGTTTGCCTTGAACTTTTCCGAAGTTACTCAAGAAACAGAAAAAAGTTCGTAAAAATAAATGAATATAAGGATAACCAACAAATAACAAAGTGTGGTGTTCCTCAAGGCACGGTTTCAGGACCTGACTTTTTTTTGATTTACATTAATGATTTCCTAAATAAAAATCTTGATGGTAATCTATATTCATATGCAGATGACACTGTATATGTAGTGGATGGAGATAACTGGGATGAGATCATATCGAAGGCTGAAGTTGGCATGTCAAATTTGAAACATAACTTGAGTTATGACTTACTCACACTCAATATCACGAAAACTAAATTCATGACATTTTCGTGTAGTGAAAAATATGAACCAAAATTTGATGAAATAAAAATTCATAGTTCAAAATATTTACAGAAACATTTTCAAAAATGCAATTGCACTCTTAAATTAAACAGAACCCTACAAATAAAATATTTAGGAGTTTATATAGATTGTTGCCTGAAGTGGAAAAACATTCACTTGAATTAACAAAAAAATTAAGAAAATGTCTTTATAAGTTCAGACTTCTGAGAAATATATTCAAAGTGAAAACACTATTGATGTTTTATCATGCATTATTTTCCAAAATTATGACCTACGGAATCATATCCTAGGGTGGTGCATATGAAAATTCGTTAAAATGTATCAAGTCTATTCAGAAATATGCAATAAAAATAATTTTCAAAAAACCTTTCAGATTCACATCGAAAATTTTATTCATAAAATATTTCATTTTAAATCTCAGACGAACATTTTACAAAATCAGTACCATCTATATAAAAAACATTTTGCAAATAGTGACATAATAGAACATCAGTATGATACAATTTTATCTTCCTCTTGAAGATGATCACTTGGTGATCGAAACACGTGTCGAGGTGTAAAAATAACGATTTGGTGTTGGGAAAAAACTCCAGTATATTTAAATTAGTGATAATTTTATTGAAATCGAACATCTTAAATATCCATGTTGTCAAAAATAGTATTAGTAATTTTAAATGAAAGTTTATACTGACTCTCGATTCAGATGGTAAGGATGGTATCTCTCCTTGAATTTCAGTCTCAAGTCGAAGCTGATCAAAAACGTCCAAACCTAAATATTTCTGTTTTATTCGAACTGTTTCACTTGTATTCAAAAAAGTTATAGTTGCAGTGTGGTTGAAGATTCCTCCTGTGAGTTGATACCTGAAAGAACATACTTATGCCATATATATTTATTTTTCAATTTCTATTCCTCAGTTTGGATTGCATACAATATTATGGGAAAGCAGTTTGAGAATATTTGGAATCCCCGTACTATCAAAATTCACAGTGGTGGACTTTAAAAAAAATGAAACGTTGAGGCAATTTTATAAATTGTTTTCGATTATTTTATTTGATAATAAATTAATTTAATGAAATTTCATTACCCATTTGAGGCGTTTCTTATAGGCTTGGCGAATAAAAATCCAATAACTCCTCCTAAAAGTTGGAGCGATTGTATATCATATGAAACTGATTCTGGGATTTTAGAAATAGCAGTATAGGCCCTGCCATCTTCCATCACCACGTAGCATTGCAGATCTAAACCTTCTAACCGTTCTCCGTTAATTTTTCCATACACTTTGCCGTTCACTCGCAACGGAAGATCTAGAAAAATATATATTTTAATAGGAAGATATAATATTTTAATAGATATAATATGGTTACCTGTATATCTTCTAAACGGTAATAGATAGGTATAGGGAAATGGTATATGAATTTGTTGACAAAGTGATAATAAATCATAATATGATATTATATACGGGGTGTTCCATTTGAAAAATCAGTCACTATAGTAGAAGTGACAACGCCGCTTCATCTAAAATATTTTAGGCGTGTAGGTCATATTTATTATGTGATGTTAGATGATGCCTGGGAATGCTGGGTCTTCTAATTGAAACCACAAATGTGCGGTTAGCTACTGTTGGTGACACCGTGCATATGTGATGTTTTTCATTTTTGGTAACCAGTTGTTTACCATCTTTGCAATTGACTGCACCGCGCTGATGAGGTCAATAGCCAGAAACACGTGTCCGCGGTTTGCTAGATCTAGCTAGCAAGTTACAGCATAGATTAAAAAAAAACAAGAAATTTATCTGAAAAAATGCTCATATCAAATAGGTGAGATGAAGATGCAATGTTTATAATGAAGCAAATAGGTGTAAAATCATAACTTCTACTCAAATAATACTTTGTGAGGATTTCGCATATAGAATAATATACAGTGAGAACTCTCAGTAGAATCTCACTTAAAAAAGTTGAAGCATTACTTCTTGTCGTACTAGAAAAAACCATTAGGTGAACTAACCATCAATGAATTGTAATGTAGTATCAGATACGCCTCCTGACTGGGTTACATCTTCTCCCAGGACACAATAGTTCGTTCCATATTCTATTCTGTAACCATCAGGACACCAGCAAGACTCCACTGAACAAATTTGCTCAACCTTTTGACCTGAAAATATTTCAGTTTTGATTCAAAGAATGCATTGAAATAAGAACTATTATTTGAATAAACCAATATTCGAGGAACTATTTAGGAACCCCATAATGAAATGAAAGATTATTGAATTTCATATTGTTCAGAAAAAATACAGGGTATTCTATTTAAAATAACAAAGTTATCTTTGTTCGAAATAATAAAAAAGTGACAATAATTTTTGAACATCCTGTATACTATTGAAAAACCGGTTTTACCGACATCAATAGCCCAAAACTTTTTAATGCTTTGTCAGAATTCGAAGGGATGATTTCTATACATTTCGATGTTATTTAATTTTCAATTGTGCCTAACATTTTCATAAAAAAATCAATAACTCGGGAACGGTTATAGTTAGGTACACAGAATCTCATATGAAATCATATAATTTTTTCCTAACCTATTCAAAAGTGTAACGAAAAACAGGGTCTTCCATTTAAGAAAACACAACTTTGATATGTCACACTTTTTTGAGCCTCTCTGTAGTCTCCACAATAATTTTCATAGGTATTTACTATTTCACAGTTGATAAATTTGTTTTCCAAATTTTGAATTTTAACCTCAAATTGGGCATGACCCTGTTTGATATTTCGCATACTGAAATATTTCAATTACCAGATCTTGGAGTTGTTGAATGGAATATGAAATATAATGTACCTATTCACATTATGTAATAAAGTAATGACGAAAATTATGCAGTTGACCCGGCTAAAATTGTAACTTTAGTTTACTTTTTGATGAATTCAAAAAATTAAAGCTATTCTTTTTCGAAAGGTTAGGTTATTCGGAGCAATAGCTATACTCCATCCATCTAAGCAACTTAGTGTTCCTAAACATTATCATGCCAAGTGCCCGTGACCTCCCACACAAGGCTGTTTGTATTGGGTGGAGTGTAGGGACACAAATTAATAGTTTCTTCAGCCGTATCAGCACTTAACTTTGACATTTCAAAAATTTTAAACTTTAAAATATCGTATATGTACACACCACAGGCGTTAAAACATAATTGACTACTCCGACAGTATAACATGAATCGCGCCAGCTGATTACAGTTTTATCTGATTGGCCAGCGTAAGGACGCTTGTTTATTTTACCCAATAGATACAAATGTGCGTGGTGTCATGCTCTGATCACGCATCTATCTATGTTTGGGTTACCTTGTTTTGTTGGATGGATATATAAGTTTTCATAACCTTGTCCACTCATATCGGATACGTAAATTGATGACGCATGTGTGATTTTTTGTTGTATTAAGTTTGGTTATGATCTACTCACCTCCAAAATTTTCTTGAGTTGTAATTTCAATAGTAGTTGTCTCGAGCTGATAGCACGTGTAGCCATCACCAGCATAACCCGGTAAACATGAGCAATAATAATTATTGGTTTCCCGGTTTATCTCGCAGTAACCAAAGGGAGAACAATTGTTTCCTAAATGACAGCTTTGTTCAATCAAAGGTTCACAATATTGACCATTTCCTAGACAGAAAATAAAACATGTCATTTCTCTTAACGGTATAAAGATTCACAAGATTGTACACAATTTAACATTTTTATGACAGATTGTTTACCCATCTATAGAAATTACATCTGCTGACTATCCATACCAAGGTCGTAATATTCAAAAAGCACTTTATTGTTAGATTTTCACCAAACAATTGATGTGTGGTATAACAATTTAAAATACCAACTTTCTCAGTTTAAATATAATTTCTTGTATAATATTCAGGTTTTATGATTCGCCAGAACACTCTAGAAATCGGAAGCAGTATGATTTCAGATTCCTGACTAAAAATAACACCGAAAAAACAAAAAGTATTTTATTACAGAAATTCGCAACAAAAACTGATAAGTCATACTGTTTATTTCTTGATAATGTGGAAAAGAAAAAACATTAATGTCAATTTGGGGTTAAAAATGTTTACCGCGAACGTCTTGACATCATCTTAATTTTAAACTTTATTTTCTCAAGAAATTATTACAGCTCATCTAAAGGAAATACAAGAAAAACAAAAAAAATCAACAAGGAAAGGTGCACTTATCAGAAAAAATACAGATCCTAATTGTATCACATTATTAACTAACATAGCCATTATTTGACAAACTGGTTAAGGCCAGTCATCGGATATATTAACACCGAACATCAGGGTTGCTTATCCACTTGAAGTATCTATGTTTTCTCCAGATTCAAGCATACCATCCAATTTGGTATTATTTGCTTTTATATCCTATTAATTGTTCTTCGAAAGATGTGAAAGATGTTTCATTAAATAAACGAAGAACTTCCATTTAACTCTGTATGTTATTATAGAAACAATTATCTTTTAGAATTGTTGTTTTGTTCATTTCAGTTTGATGAACCACTTTTCTAACAAGCAGTTTTGGACATTCAAACGATTTGCGGTTGTAATGAAGTAAATACAATCTTACAACCTTATAACACAGGTGTATTGAAACTCTTGAAACACTTTTTTTTTAACTATGTCAGCCATTTCAGCGTTAGTAAAATTATTCATGATGAAATCACTGCTAATTGACAACTCTTGACTTTCACTGATATGACAACACTATCACTGCATCATTGCATGATATGCAAAGTGGCTTCAATTTTATTTTCTTCAAAACGAAGCTAGATATGAAAAAAACACAAGCGACTACAAAGTTGTATATTCAGTTGATTGACCTAAAAAAATTAATGTTCATAGGAACTTCTTTTCTTAAAACAACCTGACGATCCAGTCTCTGAAGTTTAGTATCGTAGTTAGGAAACACTATTTAAATACACAGAAAATGGAAAGCACAACTCCATCACAAAATTTAAATTTCCATTGAAAAATATCTAATTAGTGGAATTTCATATTTTGCACTTAAATTCGTTTTTGACATGTATTGTACTTCTGAAACAAATTTCAAATTTGATTTCATCTCATTGCATTTTTTCAAGATATGTTATGTGTTTATTGTAAAAAATCTTCTATATGTTACTGCTATTTTATAACAGTTTGTAGTTAATTATAGTCTCTAATAGTAAGCATTTATTGTTTCTCGGGACAATAAACTGAATTGAATTGAATTGAATATTCTTGATGATATTTTTCGCTATTGTTGATGGTGAATAAATTATTATTATTATCGATATAGGTTCATGAAATTAACAGAATACCCCCTCTGGAACATTCATTAAACAATGAAACTAACCTGTGAATCCGACCATACATTTACAACGGGCTATACCATTGCTTTCCACGCATTCAGAGTTTTCATTGCAGGTAACATTCTGACACGACTTTGCATTATCGCATAGATGCCCGTTCCCTTCAAACCCAGGATTACATTGGCAGATGTAACTGCCAACTACGTTGATACACTGGGCATTGTAATCGCACTCGTGCTGTCCCGTCTGGCATTCGTTAATATCTGAACAGAGTGTTTGGTTGCCGTCGTAAATATTTTGATATCCAGGATTGCAGATACAACGGAAGAAATCATTCTCCACCACGCAAGCGCTGTTTGGTACACACTGGGATCGACCTTCTTCGCATGGGTCGAAATCTGCAAGAAACAGTATATTGTTCACCCTTGAAAGCGTACCTAAATAACTAATATTCACGACACCAGAGCCTAAAGACAAAGCTTTCATGATCCAACACTAGACTCGACATAGGTCTCGTCCGTGCTAGACTTCTTAAAGGACAAACTTAAGTGAGTAAAGTCAATGATATCTCTCCTTACAGAAACGCTTTCTATGAGATGGACAGAAGACTCAATGCTACTTCAACTTACGAATATCGAAGATAAACGAGGCTCTCCAAGCTAGCACCATAGATAAGACTTGGTATTATTTTTGGGGTTGTCTTTGTCTTCTAATTGCCTTGTAGTGAAGACAAATCTCGTTCGGTAATCAATAACGAAGCTTGGATTTGCAACGGGTCGCCTTGGGAGCCTTATCTTTGATTTTCGATGTTAGAGTCTTCTGCCGATCCCATAAATAGCATCTTCGTAATTGGAGATTTCATCGCCTTTACTAACAAATATTCAGTTATTTCACTTACACGTTACACTTACACGTGTAATCGATTATTATTCTCTATAGTTAAACAATATGTAGGAAACGGAAGTTTCCAACAAGCCATGGTTTTGAATAATAAAAATTCATATATAATGAAGCCATTTTGTAAAAAAAATATCTATGTGAAGAACAAAGATTGTGTAGAGGTGTCATTATCTTAGTTTTTTATATTTTATGGTGTGAACAGTCACTTTCTTGATGACTTCATTCTCATGTCGTCTTCAAAGCATGATTTGTATTTGTTTTCCACACATTTGTATCCTTTTTGTATCAATATATTAGGTTAACCATAAATACTTGTATTATTATTTTTTCTATTACGACTACACTGACAATTACTATGAAATACATTGGAAAACAAATTGATATCTTCGTAGAAAAAATTGTAGATTCCTTGAAATTTGGAGGAAAACATATTTAACAAAAACTTTTGTTTAATATTTGTGTAAAAATTGATGAAACCATTACTAAACATTTCTGTGACATGTATTGTTACGTTATCCGTAAAAGGTACCTATTTATTGTCGCTTGCCCACGTACTAATAGCTCATATTAAGATCATAAACAACCACCCGATTATAACATCGTATAATCAATAATATTCATTGATTGTCAGTTCATATTCGACTCACGTTGTAAGAGTAACTTATGAACTGTTCATATTGTAACGAATCTGAAGCCGGCACTGACCGATATCTCAGCCAGCAAACGCATAACTCATCGCGAACCACCGCGAAAGGTATAAGTGAGTGCCGAAACCCCTAGAGAGATCTGGAGCGACCGTTGCCGATATAAAAAGGCCGTCTGTATTCAGAAAGCGAATCGTGCGTTTAAATAAAGAATTCGAACAGTGAAAATAAATTAAGCGTTAGTTGTTAAGTGTTGAATATAAATTAGTTGTGATAGTGAAATATTGTTAAAAATAAATTTGTTTTAGACAGTCAATTCTTTAATTCGTGACAGTATGTTGAGAATGGAATGAAAATAATTTTCCCAAATAGTTTATAGAATTTCAATTCGTGATTCTTACCTCCTAAAGGTGTGATTTTGTTGCTCAATCCGAATCTAATTATTTGCTCTCTACTCTCGTAACTGATGAAATTCTTCCCAACTTTCAACTTCCACGTTTCCCCAATTGATTTCTTATCAAATTTGCAGTAATCGAAAACGAAAGTCTGATCGATTGCAAAGTAGTGAACAAACTCTTCTCCGTTTGGAAGAGAATATCTGAATTCTCTTTGTGCAGTCATCTGTATTATTCCTGGTGCTGTCATCGTGTACTCTTCCTGGTACTCATCTATGTTCACCTGAAAATACATATTTTTGTTACTAATTGCTTAACTTAAGAGAAGAAGTGTCAGTGAAAATGGTATCAGTAACCATTTTGCATGTATATACAATGGGATCAAACTCCACTTGGATTAATTTTTTTCGATAGCAGAACATCGCACGTAAAACACGTAAAACACATGCTGAACAGCTGAAACTCTGAACATATGTTCGAGACGAGTGTACCAACATTTTCACTTTACTTTTTGACATATGTCAAATTTATGTTGATTTTAATTCTTGGAGTAAGAGCATCAGTTTATTCAATTTCAAATCATACATAGTTGGGGAATTGGCCGCGGTGGTAGTGCGCCCGACTCACGATCGGAGGGCCGTGGGTTCGATTCCCGCCTCGAACAGATATTTTTCTCGAGAGAATTTATCTGGTTGAAGCTGGAATGATTCTGCAACCTTGTTAGGAATCACACGTTAAAAGGTAAGACCTCGTTAGTCCTTAGCTCGCACAAGTTTCTCAACCTTTGAGAGTTGTCGTTCGTATGGGGGCGACAGTTGATTAACAGAAAAACAGATTTTGAACAGATTTTTTAAACATATAATGTAATACAGTGTGTAAAGCCAAATGGAATAAATTCATTATTTACTGAACATATTTAAAACAAATCCCGAAACACGTCAATGGTAAATTATAATTTGACATTCTCAATCTTAAAAATGCCACCCTACTTTCAACCCCCTTCGAATGACAGGTACAACCCCCAATTTTATAAATGGGAAATCTAGGTTTGTAATATATCGTTTGAAAGGTCTCTTCATTCTCTATTTAAAAATGTTATCGCTTTCAAGTTTATTGCAACAATCAAGATAAAATAAATTGAAATCATGTGGTTACCGAAATTTGAGAAAATACACTCAAAAACTAAAATGTAATGCAAAAAGTAATGAAATGTAGAATACGAAAAAGAACTATGGATGTTAACGAAGTAGATGTTCAAAATATTCACCGTTAACGTCTTGGCAGCATCTTAATCTCAAATAAAACTGTCTTCTTACATTATTTAACATATCAGGCGTAACCGACCTAATCGCAAGCGTTATTCGTTATTTTAAGAAATTCAAATCTAAATATTTGGTTTTGTACCCATTGCTCTTCACATATCCCCATAAAAAGAAATCTAATGATGAAAGATCAGGTGATCGCTCTGGCCATTCAATCGATCCTCGCCTCCCTATCCATCGATTGGGAAATGTATCGAGGTATTGCTGAACCTACCTACCTTAGTAACGTGGTCATTCTCCATCCTGCTGCTCTTCACTGGAATTCGAAGATTTCCTGGATCAGTATATGAATTTGCTAAACTTGTAAGTTTGAAGTAGCTCCAAATAATTATCGCCATTCAAGTTGCTCTTATTGAAAAAGGGACCAATGATATGGTTTCCTAGAATCCCTGCCCAAACATGAACGTTTTTAGGGTATCGTGTGTGTGTTCTTTTCTCATCCAGTGAGGATTTTCCGTTGACTAGTAGTGGCAATTTTGCTGATTAGCATGACCGTTAAGAACATAACGTCTCCTAATTGGATGATGTTGTTATCCAACATGTCCATCATTTGCTCACAATAATAAGTTCCCTTATCAAAATCGT